TATATATATATATATAATAACGAAAAATATGTTCTAAACTATTTAAAAAAAAATTCTGAATAAATCAAAATTTGTAAAAAACAATTCGAAAATTTGTTTAGAACTACTCAGAACTATTGCCACAAAAGAAAAACAAAGATCTATATATGTTCAAATGAAGTTACTATTAAAAATTTGTCTATATTTCATTTTTGATAAAAATAAATAATAATATTTTTAAGTTGTCTTTTTCTCAAAAAATGTAATCCTTTCATTTCAAATTTCTTTCCTTAATATTATTTTATTATAAAAATAATCTAACAAATTATTTCAGCATTTTTGGAAATCAGGTTTACCAATGGATAATAATACTACATATCGACTTTCATATTGGGAATGTCCAAGTGTTGGTGTGGAACCTATTCGACCACGAGATTGGTTAGTTACTGGTGATGGCGAAATATCCGATAATACAACATACAAAGTAAGATAAAATAAAACTTCTGAGCTGAGAAATACGAGACATAAATGATTTTTTTTTTAATTAAAAAAATATTTGCATATTTATATTCACGCGAATTTCAAATTTTGAATATATTAGGAATGTCATTAATTTTTTCATTTTAACGTCAAAAAAATTTATCATCAAAATCTATGCATTAACATATATTGTTATGTATTAGAGTTTATTATATATTATTCCATTTGATTTCTTTAAACATGAAACAATCCAAAAATTTGAAAAATTTAAATTAACTTTCTATTAAATCATCTGCTATCATTATCAATCGACATAAATATTTGTTTGTCGTTTTACTTTATTATAACCAATTACATTTGGTACATAAACTTCAAAGTTGTTTATGAATTTTAGTAGCATAATTTTTTTCTTAAAAAAATAAATAATTGAATAAACATTACAATTGACGGGATTATTTATTGTAACATTCATTGTAAATTAGATAATTATGCAAAAAAAAAGTTATCTCACCGATTTCGATGTCTTAAAATAAATAAAAATTCTATTTTGAACAACTTTTTCTTGTATACATATGCTACATATGTTATTGGTTTAGTTTTAATTTATGAATTATACATAAAAATATGTCAAATAAATCGTATCATATTTTTAACATTTTATAGATTAATTTTCGGCTAGTTATATTTAAATTAGATTAGATTAAATTTATGTTAAATTAAAAGTAATTTAAAACTAATTCAAATTTAAATTAATAATTTTAAATCTTAATTAAATAATTATTTGACTATTATTCTTTTTATAGTAGTGGTAATAAATGAAAATACTATTATGATATGTATTAGAGTTTATTATATATTATTCCATTTGAATTTTCCTTGTACTATTAGCCGAAAATATTTTTTCCATATTAAAAAATAATATTGGACTATCATTATTAAATAAAAATTCTTTTAAGTAAGTACAGTATTGAATTCGACTTTCTTTTTGTGGAATATTAGATCGTATTATTATTAGATCTCTCTATATAAATATCTTAATACAATGATGAAAAAAATTTTTATTTGTAAATTCAATTGAGATTTAATAATAAAATTTAAAATATATCTGAAATTAAATAGAAAATTTTTTTGAGAATATTTTGGAAACTAAATTATTCAAAATGATGATTTTGACAATTATATTAATATATTTCAAGTAAATCTAAATCGATGAAATAATCTCTTTTCTATATAGTTATTGTAAATTATCGATATACAATAATAAATACGAATCTAATAATAAGATTAAATGATCGATAAATAAGTTAAGAAAAAGATATTAATTAATATCTCGTTTTTCTCTTTCTATTGATGATAATTTTGAAACAGATCTTACTTAAAATACATCTCGCATGTAATTATCTAAAATATTAATAAAATATATTATTTAAATAATCATTCATTTTATATTATGATTATTAGTAGGATTTAAAATAGGATCGTAAGATTTCAATAATCAAGAACCGAATGAGTATAGTCACTTCATGTCTGTATATATGATAATAGATGTAATACAATATATTTAATATTTTTCTATATTAAAGAACTGATCAAATCACAAAAGCACTTGAAGCAATTGAAACTAATAATTACACTGGAATCAGATTATCGTGATGATGATCGATAATGAAAATTGTTTTTCACTATGATATAAATAGAATAATTGATAAATTTTAAAATATATTTTTGATAGTTATTGTAAATTATCGATATACAATAATAAACATGAATCTAATAATATATTTCATAATTAATTAATCTAATATTGGATGAAATAATATATTAATGAATATGTTAATCGACTTAACAAATTAATTATTACGAATATTTTTTAAATTATTTTTTAAATTATTATATTTTATAAATTTTATTTTTCAAATTAAACACAAGATTATTTAATTTAAGGAACTAAAGAAAATGTTATTAATATTTTTGAATGTTTGTTTCAGTCTAGTTACTTCAGTCATCCATGTGTAAAACCTGATGCACCTTGTATACCTTGTGAGAAACAATGGCTTGGTAAAGGTCCTATGCAGGATGTTACAACTCAGAAACATGATTTTACATGGAAGTCCATTCCGCAAATAGAACCTTATAAAGCAGAACATAATTTATTCTGTCCTCCTGCTCCGTTACTCGGTAAATACATATATATATATATAATATATACTTACATACATTAATATATATTTACATACAAAGTTTGACAAAGGACAATTTAAGTCTCTTTTCAAAAAAGAAAGATTTCAAATTATTTTATTGAGCGAATAACGAAGTCAGACACATGTTATCATTAATGTATAGAATTTTGTAAATTATTTTTGAAATAAAAAGATTCAAACAGCATCAATTGCAAAAATAACTGAAAATAAATAAATTATATTGCCTTTTTATATTTATTAATTATAATATTTTTTATTGCAAAAAAGTTTAAAAAGAAAGGAAGAAAAATAATAATAAATTAATAATTTTAATAAAAAAAATATATCAAATATTTATGAAATATTATGAAATATTATATATTTTGAACAACATCAAACATTTTAAACATTATCAGATTTAATAAATAATATTAGAAAGTAGAGAAGAAAAAGAGAAAGGGAGAGAGAAATTTATTCTAATTTTGTTGTACTTTTATACATTAAATTTTACTTGTAGCAAAAATAAAACAAATTTTTCTAATTATGAATATTAATTCCTTGTTTTTTAATATTCTTTTTTCCTAATCTTGTATCATAATATTGTTAAAAATAGTAATGTTTCTAAAGAGAATTCCTAGAAATTTTCGACATAATATAATGTATCTCATAATTATTTGAATATTTGAAATTTATAAAAATTTCTTTTAAATCACAAACAAATAATTTTAAATTTTTCTTGCTATATTTTCTTATTATTTCTTGTTATCTTTTTATTACTTTTTTTTTATATATATTATGAATAATTTATATTACAACTTAATTTAAAGTTTTATCTTAAATTAATAATTTAAAGTTATATCTTTTTTAGACGATACAACATATAAATTAAGTTACTTTGAATCTGATTGTGCTTCCAAAATACCTCCACCATCTTATGCTCCCATAAGAAAATATGTTAAATCTGATATTCCAATGGAAGATTACACGACATATAAACTTAGTTATTGGCCAACTGAAGCGAAGAAGGTAAATATTTATAAATTATTAATGTTTTTTAATATTTTAAATAAAGCTTCTTGAAAAAATATTTTTCTTCTAAACAAATAATTTATTAATTTTTTCTTAAAATTGTAATTATTATGAATATCAATAAACATTTATTACTTCATAAATTTTAAATAATCTTATTTATAAGAAATTCTTTATTTCATAAAAATATAATTTTTAAATTTTTAAACGATAATGTGTATATATATATATTTGATAATGTATATATAGATGTATAGATATATACATATATAGATATATAGAGCAAGAAAGAGAGATCGTTTTTATACAAATTTTATTGCACTTTTATATATTAAATTTGTATTTAAACTAAATTTTTAATTAAATTAAAAAATTTGTTGCGTTTTATTTATAGTAAAAATAAAGCAGATTTATTTAATTCTGAATATTACTTTTTTATAATATTCCTTTTTTATTTTATAATTTCTCTTTAATACTATTGCAATATATGAAATTTTTGTAAAATAATAATGTTCTTATAACAAATTTCATTCACTGTCTCTTTTTAAATGAAAAAAATGCCCCATATATGTTATCTTATTATATATTTTCTAAATTGCTTTGAAATTTGTTTTTTTGTTCATTTATGATTTTGCTTCTAATCTTTCAGACATATAATTAAACGATTTTTGTTTTTAATTTTATGTCATTTTTAGATAACAATCACTTATATTCATTAATTTTCATATTATTATTAAAATATATTTTTAACATTTTGTATTACTTTTTAGGAAGAACCTTCCTGGGGCAAAAAAGAATATATGCCACCAGTAGAACCACTAGAGGGTTGCACAACTTATAAATTAAGTTATTGGCCACAAACAATAGAAAAACGTTCACCAATAATAATACCGGAAAACGATAATCTTTTAAGTGCTGGTTGTTGCACAGACGATAATACAACTTACCGTTTAAGTTATTTTGGTTGTGGAGGGGATAAACGAAATCCTATAATACAACCTAATAGTATTGAATTTTCATCTTGTCCTTTGTCTTATGATACCACTCATCGTGTAAGTAAAATAAATATAAAATAGATATAATAGATATAAAATAGATAAAATGGATAATGTTAAATTAATAGATATAAAATAGGTATATAAATATTCAATCATAATGATAAATGATATGATAAAAAGTATTTTTTATTTATTATCTTCATATGCATTGAGATATTAATCTAACTTATAAAATGTTTGACACATGCTGGGTTGTATAAATGTTAATTTTAATGTAAAAATATATAATATAATTTTTTTCAATCACTCAAAGTAATTATGAAATAATATAAAAAACATGATATTGTTCTTCAATATCTCAAGAGATTTCTAAGAACACTAATGTATCACGAAACTTTTTACGCGCATTACTTTAATCTTTTTATCTTTAAAACTACAGTATAATATTCTCTAATATTTTAAAGCGATTGGAATTTAAAATTTTTTTATTTTTTTCATTATTTATATATAATGTATTTAAAAAAAATTGGGATAATATTTTATATACAATTATATACAATATAATATATTTAAAAATTAATATATTTAAACTAGAAATAATTTCAAGTTTATTGATACTGGTTTTCAATTTTTTAAATATATCTTCTTTTCTGAAAAAAATTTGGAAAAATTATATTATATTATAAATTTATAAATATAAAAAAGATTAACTTTTATTCGAAACATTTTTTTATCAGATTATCAGAAATGAAAAATCAATTATATTCATCTTCCTTTTTTTTTCAGATGAGTTTCTTAGGTAATTGGTGTTTCAAAACAGAACCTCCAATTTTACCTTGTGAGAAACAATGGTTAGGTCGTGGGCCCATACAAGATATAACTACACAAAAACATGATTATACATGGAAAAATATACCATTAGATCCAGATCTTCGTTACCATGACAATCTTGTTCCTGCAACTTCACCTATTGAAAGTATGTAACATTAATTCACTTTCTATTTTAAAAAATAATAATATATATTTATAATATATATTTTTTTGTGTATTAGAAAATTTGTGCAATTTGAATAAAAAAAGTATGGGATTTCTAATTTTTATAATAAAAATCGTTCTTTACATTGTTATCCCAATTTTATGAATATATTATTTTCCTCAAAATGTAAAATAATTTATCTAAGAAAAATTTTTCTGTTATATTAAAAATTTTTCTATATTAAAAATATCCAAATGATCGTTTTTTATTAATGAGAACAATAAAAGTTTTATTTTTTTTTTTTTTTTTTGCATTACATCATGATAATGATGTATAATCACATATTTCGTTGCTAATTTTTAGCATAAAATTAATATTTCGTATCGCACGCTATTTATCAAAATCATTATCTGACTTATTTTTTCCTAATATCTAAAATTGATTGTAATAAAAAAAATATTTCAAAATAAGAGAAAAAATATATAAATTTATTAAATTAGAAAAAATGTTAAAAACAATTTTAAAATTGGTTTATAAAAAAAAAAAATAAATTAGAAAATAAATATTTTCAACGGAGTATATTTGCAGAAAGAGCTTATTTTAAAAAGAATTCATCATAAATTCTATTATATAAACAATATGTTTAATAAACAATTTATAATAAAAATTGTCAAGTTTATTTTCAGATTACATACTTTATTACCAAAATCATATATAATCTATCTGTATCAAATGTTATTTTTTTATTGTTTATTAATTCCACTAATATATTTCTTTCAGGTTGTACTACATATAGACTCTCCTATTTCGAAAATGATCTTAAATCATTAATACCTCCTCAAAAATATGCACCTGTACGTTCTTGTCGTCCATCAGATATTCCATTTGAATCAGATACTACTATGCAGTTGAGTTATCAACCTGTGGAAAGTATAGTTCCAGTTGAAAAACCTTGGGCTGAAAAGCCTCCTTATCAACTTCCAGTTATTCCAATGGAAGATAATACTACATATAACACAAGGTTTTTAATTCTATTCAAATTATTTATATCTTCTGAGTTCACATCATCACAAACAAGTCTAAAGAAATTAATTTTATATGATATATACAAAATGCTTTAGTTGAACATTTTGATATTATCAATATACAATATATAATATATTTTGCAACTTGGAAATTAGAGATTCAAATAATAGTTATCGTTAGTTATA